TGGTGGAAACACCTAGAAAGGAATGATCTCTCCCCAGCAGCCAACATGGTTTCAGGGAGGGGAAAATCCTGTGCCAAAAACCTACTGGAGTTCTATGACATGGTGACGCGGGGGGAATTGCATTTTTTTGGGACTGCAAAAGGCTTTTGACACAGTTCCCCAAAAGAGTTTAGTGCAAAAACTGGGGACCAAGGGGGATAAAAGGAAGGCACTATAAGGATCAGGGAATCTTTCAGGAAGACAGCAGGAGTCATGGTACGGGGGCGAGGTGTCAGAGTGGGCACCTGTGACAGCGGGGCCCACAAGGACAGTCCTAGCCATGCTTTTTTTGGTATTTGTAACGCATGAGGAAGGAACAATTCCAAGTGCCCCTGTTTGCAGAGACTAAAGTTGATGAGAAAATTCATTCGACGAAAAGACCAGGCAAACTAAAAAGGGATCTGGACAGGCTGAAACCCGGGGTCCAGAAATTTGGCTCCGGAGTTCAACCCCACCAAGTAAAAGTCATGAAATGGGGAAGGACAAAGAAGACCACAGCGGGAGTCATCTGGGGGCCCAGAACTACAACCTCACTAAAGGAAAAAGGTTTTGGGGTATTTTAAACACCAGGCACTTTCCCCTGAAGCCTTTCCCCCAAATAACTGCTGCCCATATGGGCGCTAGCAAACCCAGCATCCGAATCTTAAAAAGGGAATCGTTAAACCCCTGTAAAACCGTGTACGTTAGGCTCATTTTGGGTTATGCGTCACCAGTTTGGAACCCACACCTACCCAAGCAGTAAGAAACTAAGAAAGTGCAAATTTGCAACAGACATTCCAGAGTAAGAGGTATGCCTACGAGGGGGGTTATGGGAAATCAACCTGGACCTGGAGGACGGGAGAGTTAGGGGGCATGAAACTACATACAAAATACTGAGGGAATTGCCCAGGTGGAAAAAGACAGGTTTTCCAGGTGGACCGCAACAAGGGGACACAGTTGGAAGTTGAAGAAAATAAATAAGGATGTTAGGAAGTTTTTTCTTCACCCCACAGAGTAGTCGTAAGGGGAAAATTTTTGGGGGAACGATGTAGTGGGGGGCAGGATCCATACAAAAAGCTTTAGGCAGAGGTAGATAAAGCTACGGTTCAGGGGTAACCATACACCTTGAAAGGGGGGGGGGGTTGGGGTGAATGTAATGGTGGTAAAAAAAAATTTTAACCTTTAATAATTTTACAGGGAAACTTGTCCCTGTTTTGTTCCGGGGAAAATGCAGCCACTTTTAAAAAATTTTTTTTCTAAGGGGGGTTATTAAAATTATGAGTACAACTTTAGTATTCACTTTCTTGGTTTTAATTTCAAGTTTGTAGTGTTCATTGGGGATCTTTTAAATTTAAAAGCTTGGTCAAGGGTGACGTAAGAGAAAAAGGGGTTAGTGGGACAGAAGAGCAAACTGAGGGTGTGGACAGAAAAGGGAAATGAGGGGAGTGGTGAAGTAAGACAAACTGGGGGTTTTTGTAGTGGGAAACAGCAGAGGGGAGTGTAGTGAGAAAGTATGTTGTGCTAAAACGGGGCTCTGTTGACCCTTTTATTTCACACGGACCAACGAGTTTTCTGAGGGGTCTCCAGATAAGGGAAAACCAGGAAAGGTGTATGGTAACAAAAGGGTTTAGGGTGATAAGGGCGGTGGAAGGAAAGGAGGTGGAGAGAATGGGGAGTTTCGTTGTTTGACTAGCTGGTTAAGCTCTTTTTTTAATTTTACTTTTCGAAATCGTGTTTTTTATGTGACTTCCTTTTTGTATTCCAGTTTGACGACTCGTGAAAAATAACCTTGGAGAGTGTAACCCCCCACCTGTAAGAGTAATTTCGGTTTTGCAGTGGGTTGTTGATACAGGAGGGTGGGCCCTTCAAGATACGGGGGTCGGGCGGGGGTGACAGTGTGAGCGTGGGTGGGGGCTGCTGTATATGGGCGTTGTGGGCGGTAGGAGGAGCGGACGCACCCCCCCAACCCGGGAACCACCCCGGGTCAAAGGGAAAATAAAAGCTTTAGATTTTTTTCTTTTTTGACTTTCCAGTGACTGTTTCAGAAAGGTTTTTTAGCCTTTGCTTCCGAGATTTTTGGTCGTTTTCCCACACGATGGTTTATGGTCAAAATTCTAGCTCCCCATCTCCATAAATATTTTCCCCTGCCTGGGTCCTCTTGCCTGACGGGGACAGCCATTGATAAAAAAAAAAAAACAAAACATTTTTTTAATTTTCCCTCAACTGGGAGCTTTAAATAATGAAATGATAATAAAAATAAAATAATCGGCACTACCTCCACGCCACTTTACAGATTGGAACCCAGCCCAGACACCCCGTCATGTGGTCTTTAATTCGCGTTATGAGGGGGTTCCGGGCCTTCTTCTCCCTCACCCCCTCCCAGTTGGGGACCCAGGGAGTTCCTGTCTCCAGTACTTTTTTAGATACTTCCAAAAATCTCCCCTACTCTACTCCCTTGTTCTTGGCCCAAAAGTGCCACAAAACAACATCAACCTTAACAACAGTGGTACAAACTAACCATCCCAACCCAAATTTCTTTTTAACATAAAACCATATCATTCTGCAACAAGTTCGACCACAAAATTAGGTTATCCTGCAGGAGACCGAAAAAGGGCGACTTTTTTTCGCTAAGGTTTTAGGGAGTTACCCAAAATCGACTAATGTGTGACTCTCGCGGTAATTTCAGAACCAAACAAAATTTTCTTTGAAAAAAAGATATGATTATGGAATAATTAAGGAGTTAGGTAACAACACGATGCGTGCGGTTGTTGTGGGGTGTACTCACCAAATTTTTACCACCAGTTGGGTTGCGGGGCGGTCCAAGCTCCTGGGCCCGCCTCTTCACGGTCGCCACTAGGTCACCCCCTAACCATGGCTTTTCGTACCTCTGTTAAAGCTATGTTGGGGTCCTGCCTCCACTACATCCCTTTTCCCCAAAAAAATTCCACTTCCCACTACTCTGGGTGAAGAATACTTCCCAACATCCCCGTGATTATCTGTGTCCTCAGCTTCCAAAAGTGTGTGTGTGTGTGTTGTGTGGGTTTTGTGGTGGTGTGGTGGGTTGTGTGTGGTGTGTGGTGTACAGTTACTTATTTTAGTTGCAGAGGGCGGTCCAGCTCCGGGGCCCCCCCCTCTTCGTGGGCGTACAGGGCCATCTCCCTGCTCATGATTTATCGATCTGTGGGTGTGCGTTTAAAAAATATTTATATTGACCCCTTGGTTGTCACAGGTTGAATCCAGCTCCCGAACCTGCCTCTCAAAACTAGCCTACTCGGTTCCCTTCCCCCTTGGGACGTGATCACTGTAAACCCCATTCTTAAGCCCCGCAGAATCCTTCCCTATAAGGACATTCTTTTTTTTCCAGCCGACAATCAAGGGTTCAGCGTTTTTGGGTCTAACTCAATGTGTTGGACGGGGCAGCACCACCCCGGCCCCCACCGACCTCCTCCGCGGGGGGGCACAGAACCTCACCTTTGGGCCTGCGGGGCGGCCGGCCCCGAGCCGCAGGGGGAGGTTGGGTGTCCAGTGAGGTCAAAATCCCGGGGTTACTTGACCCAGTAAGTCCCAATAAAGTCCTTTTTTAATTACTTCCCCCGTGGAAAACTTTTTTTCATGGAGCCCAGGTGCTAGACCGAGGTGTGGAAAAGGTGCTGGGGCCACAGGTACTGGACCAGGGCTGGACCAAAGGGGTTTGGGCCACAGGTGCTGGGCCCAGGTGCTGGCCCCAGGGGCTGGGCCAAGGGGTTGGGCACAGGGCTGGACCACATGCTGGACCCCAGGTGCTGGACCCCAGGGGCTGGACCACAGGGGTGGACCAAGGGGATGGCCAAGGTGATGGAAAAAGGTGATGGGTCACAGGGTGGGCCCAGGTGATGGGCCCCAGGTATGGACCACAGGTGATGGACCACATGATGGACCACAGGTGTGGTCACGGGGATGGACCCCAGGTATGGGCCACAGGGGATGGACCAAGGTTATGGGCCACAGGGGATGGCCCCCAAGGGGATGGACCACAGGGGATGGGCCCCCGGTGTGGACCCACAGGTGATGGACCACAGGGGATGGACCCCAGGTCGGGGGCCACGGTGATGGACCGGTGATGGACCACGGTATGGACCACGGTGATGGACCACAGGGGCGGACCCGTGATGGACCAAAAGGTGAGGACCACAGGGGTGGACCACAGGGTGGACCACAGGTGATGGACCACAGGGGGTGGGAAAGGTGATGGACACAGGGGAGGACCACACTCGGGAAACTCTGGTTGGGTCCGGGGGTCATAACGTTAAGTGCGGTCTTGTGAAATATTTTTCCCCAAAATTCAAAAAATTGCTGTCCTTGATGTGGGAAGGACTTTTTGTGTACTACCCATTTTTTACTCACCTATTTGTGGTTTCAGGGGCGATCCTAGCTCCTCCCCGCCTCTTTACCTTCTACTAGGCCCTCTCTCTCCCCCCCTCCTGGCTTTATCAAACCCCGTTTAAAACTGTGTATTTCCTGCTCCAAAAGTCATTTTCTAGGGGTATTCCACGCCTTACACTCTATGATGAAAAAAGTGTGTTGTGTTGTGGTGTGTGTGTTGGGTTTTGGTTTTTGTGTGTACTCATTTATTTGTGGTTGCAGGGGTCGAGACCAGCCTGGGCCCCCCCTTTATTGATCGCTACTGGTCCCTCTCTTCCCTGCTCCATGGCTTTGTTACTTGTCTTTAAACTATGTATGGTTCCTGTGTGTGTGTGTGTGGTGTGTGTGGTGTTGCACGTCCTAAATATTGCAAAAGAATATTACTTAGTATAATTTGAAGTAATTGCAAGTTTAAGGTTTTTGGGGTGTGTGATAGGTCCGTTACTGTGCTCTGAGTGACTGGCAGCAACGACCTCACCAGCCTAGGGAAAACCACGGCCCCACCGCCGCCATCCCCCGCCCACGTGGGGCGTGTACACCCCCACCAGCACCGCATTAGTGGGCGTGGCCCGGGGGTTTAGGTGGGGGGGGGTCCTGGTGTGGTGTGGGGGAGTGGCTGCGACGCAGGAGAGGCAAAACCTCGTCTCCCAGGGTCTTCCGCCGCCCACCTCCGGATACCCTCGACATGAAGAGCCTGATGGAAGGCGTGGGTGTGGGCGTGAACATCCTGGGAAGCACCACGCCCACCTACGAGGAGGGGAGCTGCTTGCTGTATGATGACCTGCAGAAGACACCCCTGGTGACACCCTACAACACCCTCCGAGCCTCTACCCCTGACGCAGCCCCTGTCTACTCTACCCCTGACGCAGCTCCTGTCTACTCCATCTCTGACTCAGCCCCTGTCTACGCCACCCCTACCGCCCTCAGACCCTCCTCCACCTTCCCCTGCACCTCTTCCTTCACGCCCATACCCCGCCCTGTCACCCTCGCCTCCATCTCCAGACCACACCAAACACTATCACGCCCGCCGCCCATCCCGCCTACATCTGAGAAGTGCAACACACAGATCCAGGTAAATCATCTCTCTCTCTTAACTTCCTTAATAATAATAATAATAATAATAATAATAATAATAATAATAATAATAATAATAATAATAAACACTGACCTTTATCCACAGGTACCTACCTGTAGGATACCTGTAGTCGCTTCTTGGGGGTCACTGTTCCCGCGGCCAGGTCCTAGACCAGGCATAGTGGTTGCTGGCCTGATCAACCAGGCTGCTGGTGTTCGCTGCACGCAGACCAACGTACGCACCACAGCCCGGCTGATCAGGAACTGACTTGTGGTTGAGGTCCCAGCCACCAGCAGTGTCTTGCGGTTAAGATCCCAGACCTGGTCCCCCAGCATGTCTTGTGGTTGAGGTCCCAGACCTAGCCAACAGCAGTATGTTTTGTGGTTGAGGTCCCAGACCTAGCCAACAGCAGTATGTTTTGTGGTTGAGGTCCCAGACCCAGCCACCAGCAGCAGTAAGGGCAAGATTTTGCGTGTTCAACACCGCTATGTTTTTTATAAATTTTATATTGACGTTAACGACAGCGTTTGTGTGTATTTATGGGATTGGTGGCACTGTTTACCTGCCGGAGGTCGGGTCAGCCTGCTGGCCACCAGACCCGGCTATGTCTTGAAGGTTGAGCCAGCCTGCTGGCCACTAGAGCTGGCTGTGTCCTGAAGGTCGGGCCAGCCTGCTGGCCACTAGAGCTGGCTGTGTCTTGAAGATCGGGCCAGCCTGCTGGCCACCAGGCCCAGCTGTGTCTTGAAGGTGGAGCCAGCCTGCTGGCCACCAGGCCCAGCTGTGTCTTGAAGGTGGAGCCAGCCTGCTGGCCACCAGACCCAGCTGTGTCTTGAAGGTGGAGCCAACCTGCTGGCCACCAGGCCCAGCTGTGTCTTGAAGGTGGAGCCAACCTGCTGGCCACCAGGCCCAGCTGTGTCTTGAAGGTGGAGCCAACCTGCTGGCCACCAGGCCCAGCTGTGTCTTGAAGGTGGAGCCAACCTGCTGGCCACCAGGCCCAGCTGTGTCTTGAAGGTGGAGCCAACCTGCTGGCCACCAGGCCCAGCTGTGTCTTGAAGGTGGAGCCAACCTGCTGGCCACCAGGCCCAGCTGTGTCTTGAAGGTGGAGCCAACCTGCTGGCCACCAGGCCCAGCTGTGTCTTGAAGGTGGAGCCAACCTGCTGGCCACCAGGCCCAGCTGTGTCTTGAAGGTGGAGCCAACCTGCTGGCCACCAGGCCCAGCTGTGTCTTGAAGGTGGAGCCAACCTGCTGGCCACCAGGCCCAGCTGTGTCTTGAAGGTGGAGCCAACCTGCTGGCTACCAGGCCCAGCTGTGTCTTGAAGGTGGAGCCAACCTGCTGGCCACCAGGCCCAGCTGTGTCTTGAAGGTGGAGCCAACCTGCTGGCCACCAGACCCAGCTGTGTCTTGAAGGTGGAGCCAACCTGCTGGCCACCAGGCCCAGCTGTGTCTTGAAGGTGGAGCCAACCTGCTGGCCACCAGACCCAGCTGTGTCTTGAAGGTGGAGCCAACCTGCTGGCCACCAGGCCCAGCTGTGTCTTGAAGGTGGAGCCAACCTGCTGGCCACCAGACCCAGCTGTGTCTTGAAGGTGGAGCCAACCTGCTGGCCACCAGGCCCAGCTGTGTCTTGAAGGTGGAGCCAACCTGCTGGCCACCAGGCCCAGCTGTGTCTTGAAGGTGGAGCCAACCTGCTGGCCACCAGACCCAGCTGTGTCTTGAAGGTGGAGCCAACCTGCTGGCCACCAGGCCCAGCTGTGTCTTGAAGGTGGAGCCAACCTGCTGGCCACCAGACCCAGCTGTGTCTTGAAGGTGGAGCCAACCTGCTGGCCACCAGGCCCAGCTGTGTCTTGAAGGTGGAGCCAACCTGCTGGCCACCAGGCCCAGCTGTGTCTTGAAGGTGGAGCCAACCTGCTGGCCACCAGACCCAGCTGTGTCTTGAAGGTGGAGCCAACCTGCTGGCTACCAGGCCCAGCTGTGTCTTGAAGGTGGAGCCAACCTGCTGGCCATCAGACCCAGCTGTGTCTTGAAGGTGGAGCCAACCTGCTGGCCACCAGGCCCAGCTGTGTCTTGAAGGTGGAGCCAACCTGCTGGCCACCAGGCCCAGCTGTGTCTTGAAGGTGGAGCCAACCTGCTGGCCACCAGGCCCAGCTGTGTCTTGAAGGTGGAGCCAGCCTGCTGGCCACCAGGCCCAGCTGTGTCTTGAAGGTGGAGCCAACCTGCTGGCCACCAGGCCCAGCTGTGTCTTGAAGGTGGAGCCAACCTGCTGGCCACCAGGCCCAGCTGTGTCTTGAAGGTGGAGCCAACCTGCTGGCCACCAGGCCCAGCTGTGTCTTGAAGGTGGAGCCAACCTGCTGGCCACCAGGCCCAGCTGTGTCTTGAAGGTGGAGCCAACCTGCTGGCCCACCAGAGCCGGCTGTGTCTTGAAGGTGGAGCCAGCCTGCTGGCCACCAGAGCCGGCTGTAATATTTCCTCAGATATTCTTTTATATTCTATTATATTACCAGCTAAGTAATATTTCTCGTCGTCTTTATCTTCTTCATTCTGAAGACTTTTGAAATGAAGAAAAAAGAAGTCAAAATGGCACGACTGCATTATTATTATATTACTATTTTATTATTATTATTATTATTATTATTATTATTATTATTATTATTATTATTATAGTCATTTCACAATTTACCCACGTTTTTTGAGTTGTCAACTGTTCCTAGTTGTGACTGGTACCATGATGGTGAGATGGGTGCCATGATAGTGTGACAAGTACCATGGTAGTGTGACAGGTACCATGGTAGTGTGACAGGTGTTATGATAGTGTGATAGGTGCCATGGTAGTGGGACAGGTGCTATGGTAGTGTGACAGGTGCTATGGCAGTGTGACAGGTATTATGATAGTCTGATAGGTGCCATGGTAATGGGACAGGTGCCATGATAGTGTGACAGATGCTATGGTAGTGTGACAGGTGTTATGGTAGTGTAACAGGTGCCATGGTAGTAGGACAGGTGTCATGGAATGACCAGTGGCTGTGTACCCACACTGTCCCTCCCACACTTACTTGATCAAACATACATTATTGAAGATATTATCTGGTAGCGATATAACGTTCCAGTACATGACTGTTGAAGATCATTACTACCAGTACCCGTGCAAGTAGAGGACAGGAATGACAGTGTAAGTGAAGACAGCACTGACTGTGGGTATTAACAGTACACAGGCAATCTCCCTTCAATGTAGATTATAAGAAAACACTCGTTGGGATTTTTAACCAGGAGGTTAGCCACCCAGGGGCCCTTACTCAGACAGGATGGGACTTACACAGATGACAACAAGGAAATGAGTGAAATATTGAAATCCCAGTACGACTCTGTGTTTAGTGAACCACTAATCGGTCTGAGGATCGACGACCCAATGATTTCTCATGAATCAGCCTCAAAACTCCATAAATGTATGCCAGATTTCCGACATTACCCTAACTCCGGTAGATTTCGAAAAAGCCATTGACAACATGCCTATGCACTCAGCCCCGGGCCCAGACTCGTGGAACTCTGTTTTCATTAAGAACTGCAAGAAACCCTCACATGGATTCCCAAAATCTGCACAATCCAGGGCAACATGGGTTCAGGGCAGGTCGCTCCTGCCTCTCACAACTACTGGATCACTATGACATGGCCTTGGATGCACTGGAAGAAAATCAGAATGCAGATGTAATATACACAGACTTTGCAAAAGCATTTGACAAATGCGATCATGGCGTAATAGCCCATAAAATACGTGCTAAAGGAATAACTGGGAAAGTGGGGAGATGGATCTTCAACTTCCTAACAAATCGAACACAAAGAGTAGTGGTCAACAGAGTTAAATCGGAGGCTGCCATAGTGAAGAGCTCTGTTCCACAAGGCACAGTACTCGCCCCCATCTTATTCCTTATCCTCATATCAGACATAAACAGAGATATACACCACAGCACCGTATCATCCTTTGCGGATGATACTAGGATCTGCATGAGGCTGTCATCTGCTGAGGACGCGGTTAATCTCCAAGAAGATATAAACAAAGTTTTCTAATGGGCAACGGTAAACAATATGATGTTCAATGAGGACAAATTCCAACTACTCCGTTATGGGAAACTGGAGGAGATAATAACTAGAACAGAGTATACTACTGACTCCGGCCATACAATAGAGAGGAAAACTAATGTAAGGGACCTGGGAGTAGTAATGTCTGAGGATCTCACTTTCAAGGATCACAACAGTGCCACGATCGCACGTGCAAAGAAAATGATAGGATGGATAATGAGAACTTTCAAAACGAGAGATGCCAAGCCCATGATGATCCTTTTCAAATCACTTGTTCTCTCTAGGCTGGAATACTGCTGTACATTAACATCTCCATTCAAAGCAGGTGAAATCGCAGATCTAGAGAGTGTACAGAGATCCTTTACTGCACGTATAAGTTCTGTCAAGCACCTTAACTACTGGGAACGCTTGGAAGCACTTGACTTGTACTCGTTGGAACGCAGGAGGGAGAGATATATCATAATCTACACTTGGAAAATCTTGGAAGGAATGGTCCCAAATCTGCACACAGAAATCACTCCCTACGAAAGTAAAAGACTGGGCAGGCGATGCAAAATGCCGCCAATAAAAAGTAGGGGCGCCATTGGTACACTAAGGGAAAACACCATAAGTGTCCGGGGCCCAAAACTGTTTAACAGCCTCCCATCAAGCATTAGGGGAATTGCCAATAAACCCCTGGCTGCCTTCAAGAGAGAGCTGGACAGATACCTAAAGTCAGTGCCGGATCAGCCGGGCTGTGGCTCGTACGTTGGACTGCGTGCGGCCAGCAGTAACAGCCTAGTTGATCAGGCCCTGATCCATCGGGAGGCCTGGTCATGGACCGGGCCGCGGGGGCGTTGATCCCCGGAATAACCTCCAGGTAACCTCCAGGTAGCCCAAGAAAGGCAGTGCGTCAGCGGAGTGTCTGTCTGATTTCCATTGTGGTCCTTCAATCTTGTCCCCCAGGATGCCACCCACACCAGTTGATTGCATTAATGCAGGAATAATTCTGTATCTTACCCGCTCGTCGATTTAGTTCTGTCCATGTTCACCCGTTTATATGTCTGCCGTCCAAGACGTAAGTTGAGACGTTCTTCACTGATATATTTTCAAACAACTGTTGTTATTCCAGTATTGTACAAGTGTGTCTACAAGTGTTGTACCACTGTCTACAAGTGTTGTACCACTGTGTCTACAAGTGTTGTACCACTGTGTCTACAAGTGTTGTACCACTGTGTCTACAAGTGTTGTACCACTGTGTCTACAAGTGTTGTACCACTGTGTCTATAAGTGTTGTACCACTGTGTCTACAAGTGTTGTACCACTGTGTCTACAAGTGTTGTACCATCGTGTCTACAAGTGTTGTACCACTGTACCAGTTTAACGAAACAACCTTGTACCTCCGCAGCGTTGTCAATACAACCTGACAACACTGTTGTCAGCACAGCCTGGCACCAATGTTATCAACACAGCCTGGCACCTATGTTGTCAACACAGCCTGGCACCAATGTTGTCAACACAGCCTGGCACCAATGTTATCAACACAACCTGGCACCAATGTTGTCAACACAGCCTGCCATCAATATTATCAACACAGCCTGCCACCAATGTTATCAACACAGCCTGCCACCAATGTTGTCAACACAGCCTGGCACCAATGTTGTCAACACAGCCTGGCACCTATGTTGTCAACACAGCCTGGCATCAATGTTGTCAACACAGCCTGGCACCAATGTTGTCAACACAGCCTGGCACCAAAGTTGTCAACACAGCCTGGCACCAATGTTGTTAACACAGCCTGGCACCAATGTTGTCAGCACAGCCTGGCACCAATATTATCAATACAGCCTGGCACCAATGTTGTCAACACAGCCTGGCACCAATGTTGTCAACACAGCCTGGCACCAATGTTGTCAACACAACCTGGCACCAATATTATCAACGCGGCCTGGCACCAATGTTGTCAACACAGCCTGGCACCAATGTTGTCAACACATCCTGGCTCCAATATTATCAACACAGCCTGGCACTAATGTTGTCAACACAGCCTGGCACCAATGTTGTTAACACAGCCTGCCACCAATGTTGTCAACGCAGCCTGGCACCAATGTTGTCAATACAGCCTGGCACCAATGTTGTCAACAGAGTCTGGCACCAATGTTATCAACACAGCCTGGCACCGATATTATCAACACAGCCTGGCACCAATATTATCAACACAGCCTGGCACCAATGTTATCAACACAGCCTGGCACCAATATTATCAACACAGCCTGGCACCAATATTATCAACACAGCCTGGCACCAATGTTGTCAACACAGCCTGGCACCAATGTTGTCAAGACAGCCTGGCACCAATGTTGTCAACACAGCCTGGCACCAATGTTGTCAACACAGCCTGGCACCAATGTTGTCAACATAGCCTGGCACCAATGTTGTCAACACAGCCTGGCACCAATGATGTCAACACAGCCTGGCACCAATGTTGTCAACATAGCCTGGCACCAATGTTGTCAACACAGCCTGGCACCAATGTTGTCAACACAGCCTGGCACCAATGTTGTCAACATAGCCTGGCACCAATGTTGTCAACACAGCCTGGCACCAATGTTGTCAACACAGCCTGGCACCAATGTTGTCAACATAGCCTGGCACCAATGTTGTCAACACAGCCTGGCACCAATGTTGTCAACACAGCCTGGCACCAATGTTGTCAACATAGCCTGGCACCAATGTTGTCAACACAGCCTGGCACCAATGTTGTCAACATAGCCTGGCACCAATGTTGTCAACACAGCCTGGCACCAATGATGTCAACACAGCCTGGCACTGCTGCACCACCGTCGTCGCTGCAGAAAACGCCCGTTATGTTCATCAATATTTCTCATCCACCACGATAGCAAGACTCCCGAACGAGGGAAGATCTTAGAGGAAAAGCTTTGATGCTGTTAAGACAACATTAATCACAGCGTCAAGAAAACACATGTCAAGAAAATGTTAATGTTTAAGGAAGAGAATGAGTGCGGTTGACAGGACGACTTTGCTCGCTTAATTACACATTCTCGCCAACGTTCCTTGAAGACGGTGAAAAGTTCTTGATGTGAAGAATGAAAGCTTTTTCTATCTTTCCACTACTATTACTACTGCTACTACTACTATTATGACTACTACTACTATTATGACTACTACTACTACTATGACTACTATTAATGTTACTACCACCATTACTACTGTTATTATTACTAGTACTACTACTACTAATAATAATTCCACCTCTAATGTTACAACTCCAACATTTACACCAATAATATTCACACAAATATCACTATGTAAACTATAATCTTATTACCATCGAGAGAGAGTGAGAGAGAAAGAGAGAGAAAGAGAGAGAGAGAGAGAGAGAGAGAGAGAGAGAGAGAGAGAGAGAGAGAGAGAGAGAGAGAGAGAGAGAGAGAGAGAGAGAGAGAGAGAGAGAGAGAGACGGATGAATGAATGACAAGAGTTTCTTGTCCAGGTCCAGCTATCAGGGTTCATCTCGACCCCCAGCCTCTACTCCGGGCCCTTACCCGTGTCCCTGGCCCGAGCCCCGGGCCCGGGCCCGGGCCCGTGGCCCCAGTCCTGCCCTGACCACCACCATCGCAAACTGGCTGGAACATCAGATCACTGATAGCTAGAACGTGATCCACGGTCACACATTACTTCTTTCCTCTCTCCCTGGCGTGTATGTGGACAGGTTGCGTCCGTGACTGGTCCGTGGCTGACGTGCGTGTACAGGCAGGACCCTGGACGTCTGGTCACGCCCACACCCACGCCCACGCTGGCCCCGGAGCGCATTACCCGGACGGGCGTGCTGGCTTCTGGGGCTTTCGCTACGGTAAGTGACTCACCTGTACCTCCCAGGTCTGTCGATTTTCAGCTCTCGTATCAAAAAAAAAAAAATCAGTCCCAAATTATATTTTGTAAGTTCATATTTATACTGGCGAAGAAATTCTTTCTGAAAACCATGTGACTCATCTGTGTCTTTAACTTCCATCTACGTTCCCTTGTACCTGGTCCTCGCATTTTAAGCAGGCTTTCCGACCCTAATGTGCTCTGTCATTACCTCTTGGTATTTTTCATTCCATAATCATGTTTCCCCTAGTCGTCCTATAGTCCAACACTGTCAGGTTCAGTTTATATAGTCTCTGACAAAGCACCTCCCTCAGTTCTAGGAATGCAGTGGTTCTAGTACTGACCCTTGGGAAACTCTCTTGTAACAAACACCATCCTGATATTTTGTTCTTTTTTTATCATTCAGGAACTCCTTCCATCACTGGAGGATTCCACTCCCGCTCGTTCTTCTATCTTGTGGATCAGTCTCTAGTGGGAAGCTATGACGAATGCTTTCCCCAAGTCCAGGTATATTCAGACCATTCATCACTGTCTCTCTAGCTTTACCTGTCACTCTATCACAGAGCCCCACATGGTTCGTTAGACTTCGAAGTATTGTACTTCGTCTTTTTTGGCATGTTGTTTACGTATTACGAGGAACACCAGTGGACCATGCGCAGGGACCCTCCCTTATCCTGATGATTCCTCCCTGACCATCACTCTGTCTCCTTCCTCTCAGGTATTCTACAAGTCATTGTAGTGTTGAAAATGGTGTAAAATACCGGCAAGTTGATCATTAAGACATATGTGCAACAGTTGGATATCTTTATTGTTGAAACGTTTCGTCTACACAGTAGGCTTCTTCAGTCAAATATAGACGCAGCAGGTGCAATAGTGAAATGAAGATGACGTAATCAGTTGAGCTCTTCTCCAGGCTGAGGGACTCACCACCTCAGATACTTTTTCTCCGAGGTTGATGGACTGATTACATCGTCTTCATTTCACTATTACACCTGATGCCTCTGTATTTGACTGAAGAAGCCTACTGTGCAGGCGAAACGTTTCAACAATAAAGATAACCCAACTGTTGCACATGTCTTAATCATCAAGTCACTGTAGTACCTTTCTTGTTATCCCTCCTGCCTCTGCTCTTCTCTACGTATTAATCTCTGGTGTATGTGTGTAGGGGGGGAGAGGTAAAACAGTTCCCTTCACGTATAATTTCAACTCGGTGGAAAATATACGGTTGAAAATATACAATAATACAACTTCAAGTTGTATTATTGTAATAACTTTTATAACAAGGGTCTTAAATATACAGACTTCGTCGTCACATCTTTAAATTTTGCCACACAATCTCTATTTTTTTTTTAAATTTTTAACATCATTTTCGCTTGTGTGGGAAATTTTCTGATTTTAACTAATAATTTTAATTTATTTATTTCACGAAATTTTTCCATTTTTTTACGTAAATTTTGAAATAGTGATTTTAAGTTTTAGTAACATTCAGCCTTAACACTGGGTAACTATTTATTATCGGTAAGATATAAGCTTCAGGTTGTTGACAAAGAATGTATATTGGGAGATGAATTGTGCAGACGAGGCTGGGGAGACGTGTCACTGTCATATAACACAGATATTTCTATCGACAGCTGTCAGTGGGCGTGGTCAGTGAAGATGGATCACAGGAGGAGGGTGAGAGGGCGGCCCCGCCCACCCGGCACGCCGCCCTTGTCACTGTCACCGCCCACCAGGCCGCCCCAGCAGCTACACGGCACGCACAGGTCATTGTCTCTCACTCCCACGCCCACACCCTACCCCTACCCCAACCCTAAAAACATCCACATATTCACAAATGCCCATACATTCCACATCTACGCCCACCCACCCATGAGCAGCCCCCCACTTCCACAGTTACTACAGCCTACACACCCCCACCCTTATCCACAACCAGGAACTCTCCCGAGTTCACACCCACACTGACGCTAAACCTACTCACACGCAAAATCCACATCGTCACTAACACTAATCACAACCTACTATCCACACCCACACCTTCAACCACCCACAAATGTCTATTACACCTACACCCTCACTTTACATCCACTCAGCTCCACACTACCTCACAACACCCACACATCAATAACCCACACCACCGCGCATCGCTCGCTTTCCCCTGCACCCACACCCACACTCCCCCAACACCCACAATGACAACAGCCAGAATATGAAAGAAGGCGCACTGCAGCAGGCCTACTGACCCATGCTAGGCAGGTCCAACTCACACCCAAAACACACACACACACACATACACACGTGTGCGCGCATGCGTGTTACAACCTCCTCACGTATATACCTTCCCAATTATGCTTGCTGAAACATTTTCATCCGTGTAATTCAATATTTGCCATTCTTCTAATCCAAAGTTTAGCCATTATCATGACATCTTACATTCATACCTTATTATCTCTCTCTCATACAGTTCCTTGAATATTCTATGGACTTCTGCTCCCTCACTTCTATAAAAGATTTTAAAGAAATTTGAGACTGCAGGAAAGAGCCACTAAACAGCAGAGATAACAAATAGAAATACGAAATATCAGATACAATACGAAACGCATTACGAAACATAATAGATACAGTACGAAATATTATACAGTACAAAATATTATAGTTCAAAATATTATAGATACAGTACGAAAGACTACGAAATATTATATAAAAACATCAAGAAATATAGATACAGCACGGAATCTTATAGATACAATAAGAAATATTATACAGTACCGTATTAAATATAATAGGCTATCATGAGTGTCAGGAGAGATGAGAAGGTCAGTCTTGCGGTCAGGAGAGATGAGAGGGTCAATCTTACAGTCAGGAGAGATGTGCAGTCATGCATTTGCGGTCAAGAGCTAAGGGTGAAGCTCTTGCGGTCAAGAGAGCCGAAGTCCGTAATAGCGGCGCCTGCTTCGTGTGCTCTCAGTATCACGGCTTTAGTCAGAAACTGTGGCACGAATTAAACGCAACGGGATGTGGACTCTCCTTACCCCTTGTGTTGACATTACTGCACTGTGGTGGTCATCCCAACACACCGTCCAGCCTCCAAGCACACCCAGTCTTAGTCAGGTTAGGTTAAGTTTGTTAGGAAACAGGAAAAGTGTTTCCTGACGCGGGTCTTAGTCATATGATGACCCACAGCTGGAGTTTTTGGTCATCTGACCAAGGCCTTCCGCTGGCTTATCCCTCCACCTCCTTAAAAATTATAGCTTTAATTTCAATCATTAGATCCTATCCAGTCTTGGGGTTGTGTGGAAGTTTATTTAGGTACAGGTGCACATAAATAGTTACACAAATTATCATACATAGTAACATTTGTGTAAATTACCTAGGATAACCCAAAAAATTCGAAGTGATTGCGGCCCTTGACATTTTTTGGGATCACCAAGTTTTATGCATTCTCTTCAGACTTAATGATCACGAACACTGTGCAACCCCCCCCCCCAACCATTATCAAGAAAAGCTCGAACGAGGTTAGGCTATTTACCTTTGCTCTCCCGCCTCTCCATCTTCCTTTGCTCCCTTAATAGGGCTTTGGTCAAGATTTGAATCCGATCAAAAAAAAAATACATATTTTTTTCATTTATTGGAAGGAAACCAATTTGTTTAATATTTACAAATTAAAACGTACACAACCCACGAACTACAGTAGCTCCTGAAGACGGTCTTGTATCGAAAATACTACGCTACTGTGTGTTGCCGAATAAGGCAAGCGAAAATTTGTGTATGCAATAATTTCGGAAAAATCATTTTGAACCTAACGAAAAAAAATTTTCATTGCATTTGTTTATTATTAAATTATTGTGGACCTTATTTAAAATATACTTAGATGGATTAGGCTAAATTAAATTGCGCTTGTTATAAGGCCAGGTAAGTTTTCTAAGGTTCTTTTGGTACAAATTTTTTAATTCTTACATTAACATAAACGAAAAAATATATCTTTAAACATATAAGATACATTTTTAGAAAGGACGTAATTTTAAATGAGTTCTTGCTAACTGACCAGTTTTTACCTATTCGGCACGACATATATATAATTTTAGACTATTTTCGGAATTCAAACTAGGATCCTATGGGTTTCTGGGCCCTTGAACGTTACCTACTGTAACGTTGACCAACCAGGTTCAATGAAATCAGAAAGCCTCTCACGAAACATAACACTTACCAGACGTTACAAGCTTGTTTTTAAGGGAGTGTGGATAAGTTTTAAGTTGCTGACGTTACAAGCTTGTTTTTAAGGGAGTGTGGATAAGTTTTAAGTTGCTGACGTTACAAGCTTGTTTTTAAGGAAGTGTGGATAAGTTTTAAGTTGCTGACGTTACAAGCTTGTTTTTAAGGAAGTGTGGATAAGTTTTAAGTTGCTGACGTTACAAGCTTGTTTTTAAGGAAGTGTGGATAAGTTTTAAGTTGCTGACGTTACAAGCTTGTTTTTAAGGAAGTGTGGATAAGTTTTAAGTTGCTGACGTTACAAGCTTGTTTTTAAGGAAGTGTGGATAAGTTTTAAGTTGCTGACGTTACAAGCTTGTTTTTAAGGAAGTGTGGATAAGTTTTAAGTTGCTGACGTTACAAGCTTGTTTTTAAGGAAGTGTGGATAAGTTTTAAGTTGCTGACGTTACAAGCTTGTTTTTAAGGAAGTGTGGATAAGTTTTAAGTTGCTGACGTTACAAGCTTGTTTTTAAGGAAGTGTGGATAAGTTTTAAGTTGCTGACGTTACAAGCTTGTTTTTAAGGAAGTGTGGATAAGTTTTAAGTTGCTGACGTTACAAGCTTGTTTTTAAGGAAGTGTGGATAAGTTTTAAGTTGCTGACGTTACAAGCTTGTTTTTAAGGAAGTGTGGATAAGTTTTAAGTTGCTGACGTTACAAGCTTGTTTTTAAGGGAGTGTGGATAAGTTTTAAGTTGCTGACGTTACAAGCTTGTTTTTAAGGAAGTGTGGATAAGTTTTAAGTTGCTGACGTTACAAGCTTGTTTTTAAGGAAGTGTGGATAAGTTTTAAGTTGCTGCACTGACACAATAAAACGTAACCAAGTCAAAATATTTAGTAACTAGGCTGCCGTCAGCACTGTACATTGAATAAATTACCAAACTGAATAGATAAATGACCAGTGAGTACATAAATAACCACAGTGAGTACATAAATAACCACAGAGTTCATAAATGATCACATTTAATAAATACATGTAAATAACTACACTAAGCAATTGACCTAAATTTATGCCTAAGCGAATTATAGAAGCGCTAAACCCGCAGGGGGGTCATACGGCGCCTTGGGTCAAGGAAGTCAGGTTCGACCTGAACAAGGACAGCTCAAATTCAATGGATCAAGAGCCTACACCGAGGGTTCGAATCTTGGTTACCGCCTCAGAAACATAATTCTGGAATTAAAAGGACCCATGTGCAACTAATGCGACATTTTACTGTGGCAACGTTTCGCTCTCCGGGAACTTTGTTAAGCATCGTCAGGAGCTTTGTCAAGCTTCGTCAGGAGCTGTCAAGCTTCGTCAGGAGCATCGACAAAGCTCCAGGAGAGCGAAACGTTGCCACAATAAAGATACCCAGAGTGTTGCACGTGTGTCTAGTCTTACCAACAGAGTACAATCAAGACTACAAATTACCCTCAACAACACAACACTGAAGACAGATACATACCACTACAGAAACACAACAATATCTTCAATCCATCCAATACGTCTCTTACGTTATATCCGTCACTATAACGACACAATTTGAGAAAAAAAACTTGACAAACACTGCCAGTACCGTCAGGAGTGGCGGCCCCCCCGGCCATTGTGATGGAACATCGACTTTGTTCAACCAATACTATATACAAAATAAATAACTACAGCCATTTAGTGATATATATAAATTTTGAGGTGATTTTTTATTGAAAAAAACATTTGGAAATATATTGCACCCTCTAGATATTTGTGCTTGCTTTGGTTAGTTAATGTGGTTTGAAGCCTGTCGACTGTACCATATACATACATACAAACATGCATACATACATATATATATATATATATATATATATATATATATATATATATATATATATATACATGTATATACTTTCTTGGGTTATCTTAGTGGGTAATGTATGATAATATATATAGTAACTTACAAACGTACATACTTACATACATACTTGCTTACATACTCGCATATATACTTGCTTACATACTTACTTGCTTACACATTTACTTGCTTACTTACATACTTACTTAAATACTCACTTGCTTACATACTTACTTGCTTACATACTCACATATATATACTTGCTTACATACTTACATATATACTTACTAACATACATACATACTAACTTTCTTACTAATAAACCTCAAGTCATCTTTTTCCATTCTGAACTTAACTTAAGATCTCTGACAATTATATTCCATTAAAAATAAAAAAAATTCAGCTATGCGCATCTGAATTAAAAAAAATGGCTTTATTAAAAACGTGGGGAATTAATAAAAACTCTCTATCTCATTACTGAAAGGCTGGAGATATATATGAATATTATATATATATAAAATACCTTCAGGCAGGACTCTGTGGTAGTCGACTTACCAAATCTTCACAAATTTTGAGTCGAAATCTTCACAAATTTTGAGACGCAGTGTGCGTAGTTCTACGCTTATTGTGCGTACTGCTTAGTGATGCTGTGTGCATACACTAATTATTATAATTATTATTATTAACTATATTACTACTAATAATAATAGTATTATTATTAGTAGTAGTAGTACTACTAATAATAGTAGAAATAATAATAATTATAATAATAATTTTAATAATAATAACTATAATAATAATAATACTATTAATAATAATAATAATAATAATATACAGTTGTTATCAAGTTTGGATAACGAGAACATAACTCGGTTACTTGGGGTGGTGGTGGGCGGTCCTGTGGGCGTGACACTGGTGCTGGAGTACCAACCCGACGCCCATCTTCCTGAGTACCTCCACGCCCGTACTCTCGCCCCCACCGAGTACGCCCACGCCCATGCTACTGCCACCCACCCAGGTCAACACACGGGTACTGTTATAAGGTGAGTGAGGCGTGCGTGTGTTTGCTTTCTGTATATATATATATATATGTGTGTGTGTGTGTGTGTGTGTGTATGTGTGTGTGTGTGTGTGTGTGTGTGTGTGTGTGTGTGTGTGTGTGTTTGTTTGTTTGTTTGTTTGTGTGTGTGTGTGTGTGTGTGTGTGTGTGTGTGTGTGTGTGTGTGTGTGTGTGTGTGTGTGTGTGTGTGTTTATATGTGTGTGTGTGTGTGTGTGTGTGTGTGCTACCATTTGTCAAAGGCACTTTTCGATAGACAATGAGTATGCCCTGATACAAATGCAGAGCTCTTAATCCAAGGTGCATAAGCTACCTTTCCTTGGATCAAGCCTGATTACTTCCCAAACACCAAGTGCTATGTGCCCCATACGAGCTTAGCGCTTCTCCAAGAATACTGTAATATATTAACGAGTTTTTTTGTGTGTATGCCCGAGCAGCGTGAGTGGACTAGTTGGTGTGGTGGTGCAGGTAGCAGCAGGCATGGCCTTCCTCGAGTCTCACAGAGTCTCTCACACCGACCTGGCCGCCAGGTGAGTCCCTCATTATTTCAACAGGTGTCTTCTGGTGTCGGCAGGTGTTTTCTGGTGTCAGCAAGTGTATTCAGGTGTCAGTAGATGTCCTCTGATGTCAGTAGATGTCTTCTGGTCTCAGTAGGTGTCTTCTGGTGTCAGCAGATGTCTTCTGGTGTCAGTAGGTGTCTTCTGGTGTCAGTGCGCGTCTTCTGGTGTCAGCAGGTGTCTTCTGGTGTCAGCGGCTGTCTTCTGGTGTCAGCAGATGTCTTCTGGTGTCGGCAGACGTCTTCTGGTGTCAGCAGATGTCTTCTAGTGTTAGCAGATGTCTTCTGGTGTCAGTAGGTGTCTTCTGGTGTTAGCGCATGTCTTCTGGTGTCAGCGCGTGTCTTCTGGTGTCAGCAGATGTCTTCTGGTGTCAGCAGATGTCTTCTGGTGTCAGATGTTTTCTGGTGTCAGCAGATGTCTTCTGGTGTCAGTAGGTGTCTTCTACTATCATCAGGTGAGTCCCTCATAATGTCAACAGGTGAGTGTGTTGAAGGTGACCCTGGTAATATTAATTACCTGAGCGCTTCTGCACACTATACACATACAAGTGGAAAACAGACAGCAATTTACCAATACGCAAAAAAGTACTAGGGACGATGATATATAACACTCATGTGTAACTCCTGGGTGTCTATTAAAAAAATGTTTGGCCTATACAACAGGTCTTATCAATCAGATACAGAGGTATGAAGCTGGAGATTTTTATACTTGAATCGGTTTAAGAAGCAGGCAGGTGCAGCAGTTGAAGACGTGGTCACATGTGAGCAAGGCCCACTAGTGGACGTAGGTCAGGCTATAAGGCGTTTCAGAGATTTAGCGACGGTCTGGAGTTTTGAGACTCTCTGATCGCGGGTTCTATCCCCGCCCGTGGTATGGTTTATTTAGCAGTGGAGTTGTACAATAATAATTGTTTGATAAACTGAAGACAGAAGACCCCAGCCACTCTCTCTCTCTCTCTCACACACACACACAAGACAGTGCCATGATCTTATTCAAGCGATGAATGGTGAAGTGCTCCAGGAGGGGAGGTCAGTAATTAAGGAGGACTGGCGGCACAAATGATGCAATTAGCCTGGCCTCCAGCACACTCAGCCTGGTGCGTCAGGCTGCCCCCGCCACCCATCATTAACCTTAATAATTATCTGTCGGAGCGAGCAAGGGAAAACCTGGTGCCAATTTATCAGGGCCCTGGGCGCCAGAGAGGCTCTCTTGGCACTTTCCTCCTGCTCTGTGTTCGAGAGAGGTTCTTCTGACACTTTCCTCAGGGTCCTGGGTTCCAGGAAGGCTCTTCAGACACTTTCTTCGGGGCCCTGGGATCCAGGAAGGCTCTTCTGGCACTTTCCTCGGGGCCCTGGGCGCTGGAGAGGCCCTTTTCTGGCACTTTCTTCAGCGTCCTGGATGCCAGGGATATTTTCTTGACCTCTGTGGTCTCCCAGCCACTTTCTGTTACCTAATGCCTCATATTGTCCCTGGTACTCCCCTGCGTCCTCTGGAACAATACTTCATGGCACTTGCCTGACCTTCACAAACAGAGAGGGTTGCAGCGCCTCACGAACCACCAACTCTACTTAGACACGAAAAGTTGAACCTTCCAGTGAAACAAGAATACATAAATACATCTACAAGACCAGTGAATAAAACTACACCACTACAGGAATAAATCTACAAGACTACATAAATAAATCAAATAAAAATATTATTGTTGTTGCAGTTCCTGCTATTAATATTTTATGCCATTAACGTTCTGTTTTGCATCAACACTGTGTTGCATCAACACTCATCAACACTGTGTTGCATCAACACTCATCAACACTGTGTTGCATCAACACTCATCAACACTGTGTTGCATCAACACTCATCAACACTGTGTTGCATCAACACTCATCAACACTGTGTTGCATCAACACTCATCAACACTGTGTTGCATCAACACTCATCAACACTGTGTTGCATCAACACTCATCAACACTGTGTTGCATCAACACTCATCAACAGTGTTGCATCAACACCCATCAACTGTTGCATCAGCACTCATCAACACTGTTGCATCAACACCCATCAACACTGTGTTGCATCAACACTCCTCAACACTGTGTTGCATCAACACTCATCAACACTGTGTTGCATCAACACTGTGTTGCATCAACACTGTGCTGCATCAACACTCATCAACACTGTGTTGCATCAACACTCATCAACAGTGTTGCATCAACATTGTATTTCATCAACACTCATCAACAGTGTTGCATCAACATTGTATTTCATCAACAGTGTTGCATCAACATTGTATTTCATCAACATTGTTGCATCAACACTCATCAACAGTGTTGCATCAACATTCATCAACACTGTGTTGCATCAACACTGTTGCATCAACACTCCTCAACACTGTGTTGCATCAACACTCCTCAACACTGTGTTGCATCAACACTGTGTTGCATCAGCACTCATCAACATTGTGTTTCATCAACAGTGTTGCATCAACACTCCTCAACACTGTGTTGCATCTGGGAGTGACTACAAAGGTTGAGTGCCTGGTTGACCTCTATCATATTCCCAGGAGTGCCAGGAGTGTTGAGTGTCAGGGCGTGTGTGTCAGCCCTCCCTGGGGATACACACTGCTGGGGATACACACTGCTAGGAATACTGCTGGAGATACACACTGTTAGGGATACATACTGCTAGGGATACACACTGCTTGGGATAGACACTGCTGGTGATATAATGTTAGGGATACACACTGCTAGGGATACACACTGCTGGGGATACACACTGCTAGGGATACACAGTTATGGATACACACTGCTATGGATACACACTGCTAGGGATATACACTAATAGGGATACACACTGCTAGAGATACACATTGCAAGGAATATACACTGCTAGGGATACACACTGCTAGGGATATACACAGCAAGGGATACACACTACTAGGGATACTGCTAGGGATACATATTGCTAGGGATACACACTGCTAGGGATACACACTGCTATGTATACACACTGCTAGGGATACATATTGCTAGGGATACACACTGCTAGGGATACACACTGCTAGGGATACACAAAGCTATGGACACACACAGCTAGGGATACACACTGCTAGGGATACACACTGCTAGGGATACACACTGCTAAGGATGCACACTGCTAGGGATATATACTGCTAAGGATACACACTGCTAGGGATACACACAGCTAGGGATACACACTGCTAGGGATACACACAGCTAATGATACACACTGCTAGGGACACACACTACTAGGGATACACACTGTTACGGATACATACTGCTAGGGATACACACTGTTATGGATACATACTGCTAGGGATACACACTGCTAGGGATACACACCGCTAGGTTTACACACAGCTAAGGATACGCACTGCAAGGGATACATACTGCTAGGGATACACACTGCTAGGGATACATACTGCTAGGGATACACACAGCTAGGGATACACACTGCTAGGGATACACACAACTAGGGATACACACTGCTAGGGATACACACTGCTAGGAAAACACACTGCTAGGGATACACACTGCTAGGGATACACACTGCTAGGGATAAACACAGCTAGAGATACACACTGCTAGGGATACACACAGCTAAGGATACACACTGCTAGGGATACACACTGCTAGGGATACACACTGCTAGGGATACACACTGCTAGGGATGCACACTGCTAGGGATACACACTGCTAGGGATACACACTGCTAGGGATGCACACTGCTAGGGATACACACTGCTAGGGATACACACTGCTAGGGATGCACACTGCTAGGGATACACTGCTAGGGATACATACTGCTAGGGATACACACTGCTAGGGATACACACAGCTAGGAATACACACTGCTAGGGATACACACAGCTAAGGATACACACTGCTAGGGATACACACTGCTAGGGATGCACACTGCTAGGGATACACACTGCTAGGGATACACACAGCTAAGGATACACACTGCTAGGGATACACACTGCTAGGGATACACACTGCTAGGGATACACATTGCTAGGGATACACACTGCTAGGGATACACACTGCGTTTATTATCACCGTAAAACAAATCCTGGGAAATATAAGAGGATAAATCCACAGTTGCTAAAATGTGGTTTAATGTTGTTGGTTTAGCGAACATTGTACAGCTGGCGAGCACATAAACCACGCTATAATGACCCAGGGGTCACACCCGGGGGTTCACACCCGGGGGGTCACTCCCCAGGGGTCACACCCGGGGGTCACACCCTCTCACTTCACGACCAACTGCTCACATACGAGGAAACTGGGGTCCTGACCAGGTACACCTTCCTTACCAGCTACACCTTCCTTACCAGCCACACCTTCCTGAACAGCCACACCTTCCTGATCAGCCACACCTTCCTGATCAGCCACACCTTCCTGATCAGCCACACCTTCCTGCCTAGCTACACCTTCCTGACCAGCTACACCTTCCTGATCAGCCACACCTTCCTGACCAGCCACACCTTCCTGATCAGCCACACCTTCCTGATCAGCCACAACTTCCTGATCAGCCACACCTTCCTGACCAGCTACACCTTCCTGACTAGCTACACCTTCCTGACCAGCTACACCTCCCTGATCAGCCACACCTTCCTGACCAGCTACACCTTCCTGACTAGCTACACCTTCCTGACCAGCTACACCTCCCTGATCAGCCACACCTTCCTGACCAGCTACACCTTCCTGACCAGCTACACCTTTTTGATCAGCCACACCTTCCTGACCAGCTACACCTTCCTGACCAGCTACACCTTTTTGATCAGCCACACCTTCCTGACCAGCTACACCTTCCTGACCAGCTACACCTTCCTGATCAGCCACACCTTCCTGATCAGCCACACCTTCCTGATCAGCCACACCTTCCTGATCAGCCACACCTTCCTGATCAGCCACACCTTCCTGATCAGCCACACCTTCCTGATCAGCCACACCTTCCTGACCAGCTACACCTTCCTGACCAGCTACACCTTCCTGACCAGCTACACCTTCCTGACCAGCAACACCTTTTTGATCAGCCACACCTTCCTGACCAGCTACACCTTCCTGATCAGCCACACCTTCCTGATCAGCCACACCTTCCTGGACAGTCACACCTTCCTGACCAGCCACACCTTCCAGACCAGCTACACCTTCCAGACCAGCTTCACCTTCCAGACCAGCTACACCTTCCTGACCAGCTACACCTTCCTGATCAGCCACACCTTCCTGATCAGCCACACCTTCCTGACCAGCTACACCTTCCTGACCAGCTACACCTTCCTGACTAGCTACACCTTCCTGACCAGCTACACCTTCCTGATCAGCCACACCTTCCTGATCAGCCACACCTTCCTGACCAGCTACACCTTCCTGACCAGCTACACCTTCCTGACCAGCTACACCTTCCTGACCAGCTACACCTTCCTGACTAGCTACACCTTCCTGACCAGCCACACCTTCCTGATCAGCCACACCTTCCTGGACAGTCACACCTTCCTGACCAGCCACACCTTCCAGACCAGCTACACACGATGTGTGTATCTCACTGTGTTTGTGTGTGTGTGTGTGTGTGTGTACTCACCTAATTGTGGTTGCAGGGGTCGAGATTCAGCTCCTGGCCCCGCCTCTTCACTGAACGCTATGTGTGTGTGTGTGTTACTGTGTCCATCACCTCTCACTGTATCTTCTGTCTACTCATGTGTAATGATCCTGTTCTCTGCCCACCCACACCACCCACCCACACAGCTCACCTACACCACACACCCACACCACCCACCCACACAGCTTACCTACACCACACACCCACATCACCCACCCACACAGCTCACCTACACCACACACCCACACCACCCAAGTCTACACTCAATATATGCACCATTAAGATAGCCATCAGAGTTTGGCTAACAAGAGTCTGACTATACACCATTAACTCCACGGGTAGCTTAATGGAGGCAGGCTCAACGTGCCATTAACTCGGGTATATGTATATATATAGCGTGATAGAGTGTGGGATGATAACCTGTGTTTAACAGCACCGTGGAAGCTAAATTTAACACTCTGTAATATAAGTTAACAATGTTAATGATGGTGGTTAACGCCCCTCCCGCCCCGGCTCCTGGGTCAACACTGTGGTAGTGGTTGTGATGGTGGTGGTAGTGGTGGAATGGTGGTAGTCTTGGCTGTGGTGGTGGTTGTGGTGGTGGTGGTAGTAGTGGTTGTGATGGTGGTGGTAGTGGTGGAATGGTGGTAGTCTTGGCTGTGGTGGTGGTAGTAGTGGTTGTGATGGTGGTGGTAGTGGTGGAATGGTGGTAGTCTTGGCTGTGGTGGTGGTTGTGGTGGTGGTAGTGGTGGTAGTAGTGGTGGTAGTAGTGGTGGTAGTAGTGGTGGTGGTAGTGGTGGTAGTAGTGGTGGTGGTAGTGGTGATAGTAGTGGTGGCGGTAGTGGTGATAGTAGTGGTGGTAGTAGTAGGGTAGTAGTGGTAGTAGTGGTGGTAGTAGTGGTGGTGGTAGTGGTGGTGGTAGTGGTGGTAGTGGTGGTGGTAGTGGTGATAGTAGTGGTGGTAGTAGTGGTGGTAGTGGTGGTAGGGGTGGTGGCAGTGGTGGTAGCAGTGGTGGTAGTGGTGGTGGCAGTGTGTCATGTAGGGGGGTAATGATTGAATAGGATATAAGTGGGGAATATGGGAGTAAGGGATTATGTAGGCAGGGGAGAGGCAGGCGAGGTGGTAGGAGTGAGATGATTAGCGGAGGTAGGTAGGTAATGACAGGTCAGTGGTGACCACCACGACACTCTCATTAACTCTACACTACTCACTAACATATGCCTCGCCCACTCTTCACTCATATATAAACATAATAAAATATAAGAAAAAAGAATAAATAACGGTGGGCAGTGAATATTATTATTCTACTCAAACACAGTTTATTATTAAGTCTTTGTACAATAATATATTTGGGAACAGGAGAGCATTATTGTGGTTTAGATAAATGGGATGGTACACATAAGCAGTGAGACAGGGAACACAATCAACTTGACCAAAATGAATGTAACTTACAATATAGTTCAGAGGGCAGTTCATCACAGGAACTAAGCCACAGGTCCCAAGACCTACACAGCACGAGTACTGCACCAAGCCAGTACTCTGCCTAATGCCTCCAACAGTCTCCTCCAGAGACTTCAGCAGCCTTCTCCAGAGCCCTACACCTCAGCAGCAGCTCCGCTCGAAATCTCTGCTCAGGAGCTCTGCACCCCAGCAGCAGCTCCGCTCGAATCTCCTGATCATGCTCTTGGGCTTTCATGGTGGTCCAAGCACCCTCCACAACCACGTGTACGACCTGACGCCTAGGTCTGACGCCGTCAAGAACAAAAGACCTCAGACGTGGGCGTGGCTACAGACGTTTGCCAAGGCAAGGTGTGACCATATAATTGGTTAAATTAGGTCTCCCCAGAGACCTCACAAGCCCAGCTGAACTACATCACAAGTGGTGGTGGCAGTGGTGGTAGTGGTGGTGGCAGTGGTGGTAGTGGTGGTGGCAGTGGTGGTAGTGGTGGTGGCAGTGGTGGTAGTGGTGGTGGCAGTGGTGGTAGTGGTGGTGGCAGTGGTGGTGGCAGTGATGGTAGTGGTGGTGGCAGTGGTGGTGGCAGTGGTGGTAGTGGTGGTGGCAGTGGTGGCAGTGGTGGTGGCAGTGGTGGTAGTGGTGGTGGCAGTGGTGGTGGTAGTGGTGGTGGCAGTGGTGGTAGTGGTGGTGGCAGTGGTGGTAGTGGTGGTGGTAGTGGTGGCAGTGGTGGTGGTAGTGGTGGTGGCACTGGTGGTAGTGGTGGTGGCAGTGGTGGTAGTGGTGGTGGCAGTGGTGGTAGTGGTGGCAGTGGTGGTAGTGACTGCAGACAACTTATTCTCCAACAAGAAAGTACAATTTCCTACGAATTATTGTTCTTCGGGTTCTTCTCCAGTTTAAATTAACCTATATTTACGTATAATTAACATTGTGAATATAGCAGCAACAACAACAACACTAATTTATATATATATATATATATATATATATATAATATATATATATATATATATATATATATATATATATATATAAATATATTACGTATTATTCATTAATACGGTGTTGACATGAATGTGGCAGCCACAAAAGTATGCAGCAATGTTTAATTCTCCGGCAGAAACATTGTGGTGATGGGCGGCAGCGTGGGTGGCCACGTGGGCGTGGTGAAGGTCACACAGGTGGGATCAGCGCTGCCTCGCTACTCTGCTGACTACTGGCGGCCTCCTGACGGTCGTGGACCAGCGCCGCTACGATGGTGCAGCCCAGAGACCCTGTGTCAGGTGAGGGCAAGAGTTGTGTCAGGTGAGGGCAAGAGTTGTCAGGAGAGGGCAAGAGTTGTGTCAGGTGAGGGCAAGAGTTGTGTCAGGAGAGGGCAAGAGTTGTCAGGAGAGGGCAAGAGTTGTCAGGAGAGGGCAAGAGTTATCGTGGTAGTTATGGGTGGAATATCTGGCTATGGTCATCACAAACGATAAGCTCTTAGGAAACAAAATCAATGCTTTGAGAGACATAATATGTATTCAGCTCTTAAATTTACTTATAGATATATCACAAGATAATGTACACTAACCTAGCAACTGTTCATACATGTAACACTCATATAATGTTAGGTTAGCTAGCATATAGTCTTAGTTAACATATGCTGTGACTTTGTACAGAGGTGTGGTGCATGATTAGTATAAGTACAGTCAAACACCTCAATTACTTTGGCCGTTTTAAGTCCCTTGACCTGTGCTCCACGCAACGTAGCCGAGAAAGATACATCATAATTGACACCTAAAATATCCTAGAGGGATTTGTCCCAAATCTACTCACAGAAATCACTCCGTACGAAAGCAAAAGACTGAGCAGGCGGTGCAACATCCCCCTGGTGAAAGGCAGGGGTGCCGTGAATACACTAAAAGATGACACAGTAAGTTATCAGGGGTCCAAGACTGTTCACCTGCTCCTCCTTCTCCTGCAGGGCACCTTTAGCTCTCCTGCAGATGTCTGGTCCTTCGGCGTCACTCTGTGGGAGATCCTGACGCTGGCTCGCCGACGGCCCCATCACCACCTCTGTGACGACCTTCTCTTCCACGCCCTCCTTTCCACGCACGCCCACGCCCACCCATCCACACCCGTCAGTGATACCTACGCCACTCCTCAGGTATTCTCATTCTCACCCATAACATTTCTTTTGAAGCTTACAATTATCAAAGAATTTCGCTATTTTTTTTGATAAATGTCAATAGATGTATACAGTAACACAAATTGAAGACGAAACTAGACGATGTTTCTGTCCATCCTAGGCCTTTATTAAGTCGCGCCTTGATAATGGTCCAGTGATGACCGAAACGTCAAGTTCCATCTCCAAGTAGTGGGTTAGATAGTAATTCTTCCAAAACAATTGTCACCGGTTCTTTGTCTTATAATTCTTTTCAGCTCATCTTTAACAAAAAATAAAAAAAAGTGTTTATAGAGCAATTAAAGGCCGTTGAAAACCACAGCTGTGCCGCGGAAAATCATGTTTTATCTTTTAGCCCATTTTCCGTGAACGTCGGATTTTGTCAGTGTTGATGTTGCAAATATTGCTTTGAAGCAGGAGGGGTGGGTGAGGTAGGGGGGACCTTGATGCTGATGAAGGAAGGGCTCTTGATAAAATGAATTAAAGCTACTCCTCCCTCCCTCAGATGCAACATGATTGCATCCCATTCCCCCGGCGCCTTATGACCATTACGTGAGTATAATTATGATTGCAGGTAGTGTTGAGTCCTCCAGGGTGGTGCCCTAGAGAGGTGCAGGAGGTGATGACTGAGTGCTGGCGGCCACACCCTGCACAGAGGCCCACCTTCAGCTCTATCCACGCCAGGCTGGCAGCCTACGCCCTTTCCCACGACTAACTAGCCTCGGGCAAGCCTCACTCCAGCCTGCCCAGGACCATGGCTGACTGCAAGAACGCCATCACAACTATACATATCGAGCAAGCAACTGTGTGCCAAGTATTTGAAGCGAAGGATAAAGATGTGCCAAGTAGGATTAAGTAACTTAATGAAGTGTACACTACTGAATAATTGGTCGCATTTCTTTAAAGTTTTAATGTAAAAGAAGAGTGCTTTGCACTAAGTCTCTGCATAAACAAAAAGACGAGAGACAAGACAGCAGAACTAGTGTTTAACTTCTCCAAGCGGAGGCTCAACATTTTGTTACTCAGCAGCAAGATAACTTAAGAGACATTTTCTTTTCCTCGAGCTTCCTTTCCTTGCTGGATTATGTACATACCTTAAAGTCAAGTTCCTGGATAATGACTGTGTAAACAAAGCAGCAGCCAAGTTGACTCTCCAAACAGAGCGAGACAAGGTTAGGTAAGAAGCTTAGCGCTTATCGCTACCATCCTTGGCTAGAACAATATACACCCAGGTGTATGTCTGTGAATATCATTGAGAGTTTACTTTAATCCCTATTCTAGTGATTCAGGTATCCTTGATTTTAATGTTCGGGTGAATTGCAGCCATTAACGACAAACGTGCAATCCATAGGCTTTAAACCAAACAAACTTGATTCAGGTCAGTGACATTAGTGCTGTTGATTTCATGTCTAACATGTGTTATTGGTCTGAATCCTCTGTATCGGTACTGTCATCAGCTGTGCTTTAACCGGGCTTCTGAGCTACCATAAGGTTCTAGATCCCATCGATGTCAACTAGAATTTGAACCAAAGTCTTTAGTTCCCTAAGTCTCTAGCTCTTTCAACTGAAAAATACATTATGAGGCCGTCAATTTGGGTTTCATTTCAAAATCTAAACTCTGAAGTATTTCTTCAGTGAAATTCGAGACAGTTTTGGCACGGCTAATTAGATCTTTAACTACGTCAAGTCATCTGTATAAGAGACACTAATAAAACATTAGATAACTTTATTATGGAAACTCTTCGCCCACTCGAAGTGTGATCTTTTTTAGAGAGACAGAAAAGCAGGGGAATATATATTGTAGCGCTGAGATCCGTTGTGAAGGCGCTGGATATATTTTTAACCACCTTGCTGTCGGGGATGATGACAAATGTTTGTAGAGGTTTGCTTAGAAAGAGAATTTTCACAAATGTTGTTGTTTAGAGTCTGCGGTTATTACTCTTGTCAATACAGCTGCACAGAGTACTAGAGGCTGCAATATCTCTAGTGATTTGAGGCCGTCAGGACACAGCTCTCAGCCTACGTCATTTAGTATAATGTTCGCCCAGGCTACACTAACCTCCACGCACCTATACTATATTTCCATGTTTTTCCTGTCTTTCTTTGGATTGCTAAAGTACCTAATAGACGAAACGTTTCCAGAATAAATTTATCTTAAGTTGCATATACATTAGTCGGTATTATATGCCTTGTTTCTGAGACCAAGTCACCTGTTGCTACTGTTATCAACTGTGGCGGCGTCCCTTCCTGGGACATCTCTCCTCCCCCGAGGGGCGTCTAGTACTCTGGTACCGTTCACTGATACCAGTACCTCACCCAAGACCCTTGTGAACGTGACTGACTCCAATCACTGTACCTTGAACTATGACCTGACTTACGCTGCCATCAATCAAGCCCCTGAATTCACTGTAATGCTGTCAACGCGTGTGTGTAAAATTGATGGGATCCCATGAATAATTTTTAGTAAGGAACCTACGAGTTATAATTATTATTGGGCCCTCGCAGAGTCGTCAGCATAGTGAACTAATGTCAGAAAGGTGATCCTACTAAAAATGTCAGATAATGGCTCCTGCAAGAGAGATCAGCTAAGAAAACCCGCAAGACAGGTCAGCTAGAGTTCTACAGAACTTGTACGTACGAAGATTCAGTATAGAAACTCAACAAGTGGACCTTGAGCTTTACTTCAGGTGAAGGATCCAGTTCTATTACTGAAGAGGACCTTAAATATACTATCAGGCGAGGGATCCTAAGTATATTTTTTATGAGGAGCAGCACATGCATTATCAGATGAGAGACCTTAAATGTAATATGAGGGACCTTAAATGTAATATGAGGGACCTTAAATGTAATATGAGGGACCTTAAATGTAATGTGAGGGACCTTAAATGCAATATGAGGGACCTTAAATAAGAGATGAGGGATCTTTAATAGAAGGGGGACCTTTAATATGATGAGGGACCTTAAATGCAATACGAGAGATATTTGATGTAAGAAGAGGGACTTTAAATGAAAAGTGAGGGATTTTTAATATAAGAGGGACCTTAAATGTAAGATAAGGGACCTTAAATGTAAGATAAGGAACCTTAAATGTAAGATAAGGGATCTTTAATGTAATATTAGGCGAGGGATTTGTATTATAAGTATATCAGTTCAGGGACCCTGTATATCGCCTCATTCAATACACTACTGAGAATTTTAACTACTACTAACAATTTCTTCGGTACCTGGACAATAGATTTTTAAGGGTAGGCTAGTATATAATTTCCATAAATTATTCTCACTAAACGGCTAATGCATTCCACTGAGCTGTTGCAGTTGGTGGTCAGACAATGGTTCGTGTGTGTGTGTGTGTGAGTTGCAGTGCCACGACGCTGTCATCGTGACCAAAGTGAAAGAAATAACATAGTTAAGTGTATTCAAAGGAAAATAATAAAAAAAATTGCCTGCATATAGAAACAGAAATAAGGAAAGATATATACATATATATTTCGACCTCGGATAGAGATCATCTTTTCTTCATGTGTGTTTCTACATGTGGTTCCTTACTTTGTAGTGACAAGTGTTTGTATAACACTTTTGATGCTCCAGGTGTTTATATAACACGTTTGATGCTCCATGTGTTTGTATAACACGTTTGATGCTACGGGTGTTTGTATAACACGTTTGATGCTCCATGTGTTTGTATAACACGTTTGATGCTCTGGGTGTTTGTATAACACGTTTGATGCTCCAGGTGCTTGTATAACACGTTTGATGCTCCATGTGTTTGTATAACACGTTTGATGCTCCAGGTGTTAGTATAACACATTTGATGCTCCAGGTGTTAGTATAACACTTTTGATGCTCCTACATAGCTTAGTGTGTTTAATGTTTTTTAGAAATTACTGTATTTTAGAAATGTGTTTTTAAATACATCTCCCCATTATATTTTGGACGTTTAAGCACTTTACACGTTTCTAGTCATGTGGGCAGGCCTTGTTAGTGACGAGGTATGCAGTATTTTTCTGGTTACTCTTTTCTTGTACTCATTTTTACATTCATAAATTGTTTTGTATATGACAAGTCTTCCGTGTTTAGGTCACTCAGATAACTGTAGTTGTAACCTCATATTTCAAGAATACATAGTGGAGGGTCATTGTGTTAATGTGAATACCGTTGTCAGTGGCACACTGGTTGCTGGCCACCTATAGCTGTTCTTGTAGCTGGTAGAAGAGGGAAGCAACTGCGTTTTGCACTTGTCAGGGTCCAACTCCCTCGTGTACACAAGATAACAAGTGTACGTTTGGATAATAAAAGCCACAGTACAGTGACTTAAACAATTCAAAACTAATCTAACCACGAAACGGGTGGGATTAGAACCCATGGCGAGCAAGTCGTAAAACTCCAGGCCACTGCGTAAACCGCTGGGCCAGCTGGTTACAAAAAAAAAAAAAATAATCCAACTAGGTATATTTATACACCATAAGGAGGTTACCTAGTTGGATGAATATTATTGTAGCCAGGTGGCCAAGTCGCTTACATACTAACCTGGAGTTTTAAGACTCATTCGCCATGGGTTCAAAACCTACCCGTTCCGTGGTTTGTTTACAATCGTATTATTACGATTTCGTGAGTCAGTTCAAAACTTACAAACTGAAAATGAAACTAAATGAAATTTCGGTCCTTCCTGAATGATTCACTCGACGATGATACACGAAGGACGGAAACGTTATCAAGTTTCACATGCAATTAATGGTTTAGCTGTAGAGTACAAGCACAAGGTGTACTGGTGAGGTGAGGTGGCGGCCACACGGCAGTGAAAACGCCAGAGTGTAGTGATGCAGTGTGCAGTTAAAATGCTTTATTGTTTACCACGGAACATTGCACGTTCGTCTGGTCTGACAGAGCAAGAGCAGAGCAGTGCAGGGAAGACTAGCAGCCTCGGGCCGTAGCAACGGCTCGACAAAATGCTGAAAACGAGTTATAACAAGAGACGCAGAGAGAGAAAGAGAGAGAGAGAGAGAGAGAGAGAGAGAGAGAGAGCATCCCTATCCTAGTTCCTGACACAGCAACATGGTAGCCACCACCTGCACCCACCACTGTACCTCGCTCTGCTCTTAATAAACATCGAAATCAATGTTGTGTTTTATTTTCTCATCAACTATTGCCAGTCCCAAACTGAACTGTTGTAGACATTCAGGTAACATGTTAAAATGTAAACTATCACTAATCCTCTGAAGCATATTCAACCAAAACCTACTGTAACAGTGTGTCTGCGTTGCAGTACTTATTTGTATCACAGTCTGGCTAATTTGACACAGTCCATTCTCAGGACACTGTACCATTCTGTGATAGGTCATCCTGTGGGGCAGCAATATCCATGTTAATTAAATTCCAAACCTGATAGAATGCATTATCTCGAACTTAACCACTAGGATATTCATATTTTAATAGTGACGATGTCCTAGTCGACCCTGTGAGGTTTGACAGAACAGCCAAGCAGACTCCAGTTAGTGTAGAACAGCCAAGCAGACTCCAGTTAGTGTAGAACAGCCAAGCAGACTCCAGTTAGTGTAGAACAGCCAAGCAGACTCCAGTTAGTGTCCCCTCAAGGAAGGTTCCTTGATGTTGGTGAGGGGCTCTTGATTTAGGGAATTGGATCTGTGCTCCAGTTCCCCGAATTAAGCCTGAATGCCTTCCACATCCCCCCCCCCCCCAGGCGCTGTATAATCCTCCGGGTTTAGCGCTTCCCCCTTGATTATAATAATAATAATAATAATCCAGTTAGTGTAGAACAGCCAAGCAGACTCCAGTTAGTGTAGAACAGCCAAGCAGACTCCAGTTAGTGTAGGACAGCCAAGCAGACTCCAGTTAGTGTAGAACAGCCAAGCAGACTCCAGTTAGTGTAGAACAGCCAAGCAGACTCCAGTTAGTGTAGAACAGCCAAGCAGACTCCAGTTAGTGTAGAACAGCCAAGCAGACTCCAGTTAGTGTAGAACAGCCAAGCAGACTCCAGTTAGTGTAGAACAGCCAAGCAGACTCCAGTTAGTGTAGGACAGCCAAGCAGACTCCAGTTAGTGTAGAACAGCCAAGCAGACTCCAGTTAGTGTAGAACAGCCAAGCAGACTCCAGTTAGTGTAGAACAGCCAAGCAGACTCCAGTTAGTGTAGAACAGCCAAGCAGACTCCAGTTAGTGTAGGACAGCCAAGCAGACTCCAGTTAGTGTAGAACAGCCAAGCAGACTCCAGCTAGTGTAGAACAGCCAAGCAGACTCCAGCTAGTGTAGAACAGCCAAGCAGACTCCACTTAGTGTAGAACAGCCAAGCAGACTCCACTTAGTGTAGAACAGCCAAGCAGACTCCAGTTAGTGTAGAACAGCCAAGCAGACTCCAGTTAGTGTAGAACAGCCAAGCAGACTTCAGCTAGTGTAGAACAGCCAAGCAGACTCCAGTTAGTGTAGGACAGCCAAGCAGACTCCAGTTAGTGTAGAACAGCCAAGCAGACTCCAGCTAGTGTAGAACATCCAACAGACTCTACAGACGGTGTGGGAACAGCTAAGCAGACACTACAGTAGGTGTAGGAACAACCAACCAGACAAACGTGAGTGAGGCTGGGTACTCCATTGTCTCAGGGACAAGTGTGTGAGTGAGGCTGGGTACTCCACTGCACCGCCTCCTGCTGGACATCCACTACTTGTGATCTCCGTCAACAGACCACAGTAAACATACTCAGTGGGATGAGCTGCGTGATCCCTTCCGGCAGCTCTTGTGCACGTGCAGTTAGTCTCAAGGTGATACTGTTATGACACCTTGTTTACTCCAGACATTAGTAATAAGCAGTAGATATCACCTAGTCTGTTTCCCGATGAACCGAGTACGCCTGTCCGTAAGTTGATTCAGTGTCAAGAAGTATCTTAGAGTCGAGTTCTCATCCTCGTTTACTGATCACAACCTTTTGATCTGGGTTGGATTACGGCGCTGACAAGAGAAACTGGTGAGAAATATATTAAAGTGCTCAGACATCATGATGGTCAGGGATTAGTCACAAGATTCTTAAAAAAAAAATTTATGAATGTTTAGACTATCTGGAGTATACCTGGAGGGTGTTCCGGGGGCCAACGCCCCCCGGCCCAGTCCTTGACCAGGCTTCGCGGTGGGTCAGGGCCTGATCAACCAGGCTGTTACTGCTGGCCGCACTAGGTATAACCTCTGCTGTAATGTAAGCATTTGAAAGGTCTTTGTGTATCTCTGTTAACCATTCGATTAATCATAAGTCTATGTTTGCGCTTTCTTTAATCTTTAAATTTGATCAGGGAGAGCGTTATTAAAATATTAGCGCTATTGAATAACTACAAAATTGTAATGAACACCTGTAAGTGCTCAATAATAACCTAAATGGAGACAGAAACTCGGAAAATTAATTAGTCTGTATATTTCTATCCCGTGCTGGGGCCTTCAGCGTTATTGATTTCAAAAACGCCACCGGATGCATATCATGATTACATAATTTTTATATGAAAACGTGTGATTATAAGTTCACTTGGGTGTAAGGCAGAGAGTTAACGTGTTTGACAAGACCTTATAGTAGACAATGATAAGTGTTTCAAGTGTAACATCACTCATCACAGGCTGGAACACATAGCAGGTCCTCCCAGAATACCGATACTGAATCTAGATCTCTTCCTCGGCTCTCAAGAACATATACAATAATTATATACTGATTTCGGCATTTCTGATGCAGCCTTGGTAGTGTTGTGTCTGCTGAGCATCAGTGTTAGGCAGTAAGTACATGGCGGTAGAGGGCACTCGGCTTATGAGAATGGGGAAATACCTTTTTTGGATCCCATACTTGTAACCCCTTCTATTTGTACCTCATTAATGCAAGATTATCCCAGTGTTGCATAACCCCTGTTGTCTGTATCTCAAAGCACACAAATGGGATATTGGCGAGTGCGCGATAAGTTTACAATGTACATAGTTAATATTAGGTTTAAGATGCGAAACGATTCACAGGTTAATGCACAATCATACCCCAATTTCTTCAATAAAGAACGCAAATTACGACATACATAGCCTGCCACTAAATTAAACCTTCCGCTAAGAAACATGGATTATTATTATAATCAAAAAAGAAGCGCTAAGCCACAAGGGCTATAAAGAAACATGGAGTTTGAAGCCAAGGCCTACAAAATACGCCACTAATGTTAACTAATCTATATCAATTATACTCTCTACCTTTTTACCAGGCGCTGTATAATCCTCCGGGTTTAGCGCTTCCCCCTTGATTATAATAATAATAATAATCTACCTTTTTAGAAATGAAGATTATTGTTATTATTATTTGCACACGGAAATCGAAAGCAACAGACTTGGCAGGAGACGCAACATCCTTCTGGAAATTTCTGTGCGAACTGCCCCCTTGTAAGCTACCCCCTTGGAAAGTAGTTGACACAGATACCCTGAGATAGTACCCAGGGTCACAAGTGGCTCTTACAACATATTTCCAGTTACTAGAGCTCTTGTAAGAAATTCCTAGCTATACACGAATGAAGGATGTATTTACTTGGTGTGGAGTTCTGTTCCCTCACCCTCAGTACCTCCTGCAGTGACGGACTTAATCTGGTCTTCGTGCCCATCGACTCATACCCACACACAGATGACCCCAACCTACGATTCCCCAAAAATGTTGGCCAATTATGCTGGGAGGAAACCGAGGTCTTGTCTCACTGTGGGTTTGCCTGGATAGAGGCGAATATCTACAGTATTTCAAGAAGCCTCTTAAGTTGTCTCCAGGCCAAGTATATTGGTTGGAATCCGAGCAGTTTGACACAACAGCCCCACTGTCTTGGAGTCTTAATTTCAACTGAGAACTGTCTCCCTCTTCGTTTGAATTTTGGGTTGCCACTTCTCCCTAGCTAATATCCGCCTATATTAAAGGCCTAATCCTACCTTTGTTAAGTTCCTAGAACTACAGTAATAATATCTACGGTTAGTTACTGCTGTATAAACCTACATAAGCCTTCCTAGAGGGGTAAATATCAAATATTATGTACAGTCGCTAAGTGTGTGTGTTAGGGCTTGCAAAGCGCATATACTGTGAAACTTTTCGTGGAAAGTTTTGCAAGTTATTTGGTCTCCCAATAAGTTTCCACAATCCCCCAAAGAAAAGCAGGGGCGCCACGAGTACACTAAAACACGATAAGTGTCAGGGGCCCAAGACAGTTCAACTGCCTCCCAGCATGTATAAGCGGGGGTTACAAATAGACCTTTGGCTGTCTTCAAGAAGGTGCTGGAGCACGTAAAGTCAGTACCTGACCAGCCAGGCTGTGGTTTGTACGTCGGTTTACGTGCGGCAAGCAGTTACAGCCTGGTTCATCAGGTCCTGATCCACCATGAGACCTAGTCATGGACCGTGCGGAGGGGGGCGTTGATCCCTGGAACACCCTCCAGATATACTAGCACGTCTAATGTAATGTTACAACATCAGTCATGTTTCAACGCTTAACAGTAATTAACACAGTACATTAAGGATTACAAATGAGAGCATAACTATCAGTTTCCATTAAACAACTGGAACACAACAATAAGTACATTGAAATAAACCATAACGTGAATTGATCTGTATTGTTGAAGCTCCGTTTAGAATCAAGGTAATTCTTATTTAGGTTTATTGTTATTCCCTTGATGGGAATGGGGAGATCCCACAGGTGTGGGGAGATGTCACCTCCCGAGGTGTGGGGAGATGTCACCTTCCCAAGTGTGGTGAGATGTCACCTCCCCAAGTGTGGGGAGATGTCACCTTCCCAGGTGTGGGGAGATGTCACCTCCCCAAGTGTGGGGAGATGTCACCTCCCCAGTTGTGGGGAGATGTCACCTCCCCTGGTGTGGGGAGATGTCACCTCCCGAGGTGTGGGAAGATGTCATCTCCCGAGGTGTGGGGGGATGTTATCTCCCCAGGTGTGGGGAGATGTCCCCTTCCCAGGTGTTGGGAGATGTCACCTCCCCAAGTGTGGGGAGATGTCACCTCCCCAGGTGTGGGGAGATGTCACCTCCCGAGGTGTGGGGAGATGTCATCTCCCGAGGTGTGGGGGGATGTCATCTCCCCAGGTGTGGGGAGACGTTACCTCCCCAGGTGTGG